ACTTTGTATCTTGATCACTCGTCTTTGATTTGGTAAAATGAGTTTCCAACTTTTATTTGCTTGCAGATCTAGTCATGTCGTCGTCTTCGGCCTTTGATGTTCCAGGATATCGAGTAATATTTAAGACATTTTGAAAATCGGTTTCATTATGTTTCCATTCCATATAAAGAAATGAAGGGCGCGAAAGAATTAGTCTTTTTTTTAGTCGTTGAATTTCTTTTTGATAAATCGATTTGTGTTATTTTGAGTCCTTGCTACTAATGTAATAATCCAAATTATATTTTGATAATTTCTTCCCATGTACCCGTAGTAGCATTCAAGTAATGGCCTTTGATTTGACTTTCAGTCGTGCTTTGTATATTGTTTCGACATAATATTAGAAATGATCTTTCCAACAAATGAATGCCTGGGAATTACGTTCTCATTATCTTTGGTAAAATCAAGTCCAGCACGAAGACATTTAGAAATTTCTATGCCGTAATTTTAAAGTGGATAACTCAAACTTTGGTAATAAGTATCCCTCTACTACTCCATTACTTGAACTAACACAATATGTTCGTACGGACCTTTTAACGGATGATTGATGTGTATGTGCACGTCACACAATGATACCATCATCCATCTTTAAAAAATATATGAACTAAAAGCACGTGTCTATATATCAGTTATCTAGTAAACTTAATATCCGTGCAACATGTTACTTAAACTCGTGGCAATGGGCAAGGTGTGTACATTATCGGCACATCAAAGTTAGGTAACTTGATTGCACCAAATTGAAGCTGAATTATTCGATGTGCAAGAAAATGGAAGTTCACAAAACGATACCATCATCCATCTTTAAAAAAAATATATGAACTAAAATCACATGTCTATACATCAGCTATCTAGTAAATTTAATGTCCACGCAACATGTCGCTTTAGTAAATCTCGTGGCAATGGGCAAAGTGAGTAGATTGCCAGCACATCAAAGTGAGGTAACTTGATTGCACCAAATTGAAGTTGAATGACTAGATGTGCAAAAAATGAAAGTTGGGTGAATTGACTGCACCAAAGTTAATGAGTACATCGGTATCCACTAATCACTAATGCCCATTTGGAATAAATTAAAAGTTGAATGCCCTTACTTAATTTCGTCTTAGTCGCGTATTTTAGAATTTAATAAAAACAGAACTCAACTTGATGGGTGTGTTTATCTATTAAGATGTGGCATTCAAGAAAATTCTAGTTTAAGGGTGATTCATAATGGATAGAAAAAGATTTGTTCTACTCTAACTAATGAATTAACATTTTAGAACGAAAATTTAAATCGTGTATGTGATATTAAAGTTAGGCCTAAATTTAATCATGTGAATGCACAAGATGAATTCTAGTTGTAGCTAAGTGAAGGGGATGGACACGATTTGGATTGTGAAGGATGAAAAAATTCCGTTGTAGCTCCACGTAAGATGGTGCGGCATATGACTTAGTGAAAAAGTTGAATCTTGATGGAGCTTATCATTTTTCTCGAGGGAGGTTGGGATTATTGTTGGAGGATGGATTGTCACTTAAGCACACATTTGCTAGACAACAGATAAAATTATAAGTATATGGAATTTTATACAAACACTCAAATATTGGTAATGCTGTGACATTTTCATTCATGAACCTTGCTGCACTTACATAAAAAATTTATAGAAACATGAATTTGGACTCTTTGTGGGTACAGGTGTAAAGACAGCTTTTGTTCTCTGATCTGCTGGGGCACATCCCGCGATTAACCTCTCTCACGATGCTCAAGGGAAGAGGCGGTGGGGAACCCTTAAGGTTGGGGTTCAACCTTTTAAAAAACTTACAGAACCTTCACAGACAACTCACAAGTATGGTGGGTGAGTGATTTTTTTGGCATTTTTTATTATACATGGAACTCACATATTGTCTCTATTCTGGCAAACTTCTATGAGGTGAAATTCTGTACATGTAAAATTTCCCTTCATTCATAGTATACGGGCACATCCCGCGATTAACCTCTCTCACGATGCTCAAGGGAAGAGGCGGTGGGGAACCCTTAAGGTTGGGGTTCAACCTTTTAAAAAACTTACAGAACCTTCACAGACAACTCACAAGTATGGTGGGTGAGTGATTTTTTTGGCATTTTTTATTATACATGGAACTCACACATTGTCTCTATTCTGGCAAACTTCTATGAGGTGAAATTCTGTACATGTAAAATTTCCCTTCATTCATAGTATACATGTGTATATACATGATTTCTAAAAATAAGGAGCTATTTTAGTGCATACGGTATAAGTAAATCCCTGACTATGTTCCTAATTCACTTAATTACAATGAGTGAGTAATTCATGCTGGAAAGATCAGATCATAGTACTAAGATCATGGTGATTTGTTTGCTGAGTTTATGGAAGATATTTCTTCCCTTATAATTTTGAACTACTACCATATTAAGGTTTAAGCCTCAAGTACATGCTTTTTGGACAGAATTTGGATAGGGTGCTGTCCTGTTGTGGTGTGCGTGTGTATGTATATATATATCAGGGGAGCAGTTACCATAATAGCCCTTCCTTCATTTCAAAAATTGATATATTATATGATATGAGAGGTTTTTGTATTCATAGAGGCCGAAATTAGGTCGAAATTCACGTACGAAGTAGTTTCCATAAGGAAGTTGACAATAAAGAGGAATCTGTAACGTCTGTCGAGAAATAGATTGTGATATAGCACAGCATAGTTGGCTGCGACCACACAGCCCAACTAATTCATTATCTATTGGTCAACATTGAGGGGTTGTGATCGCACCCCTACAAGTTTGGACACGTTTACTTTGGTCCCTAGTTTTTGCTCTTTTGTTCAGCATGACTCCTTTCTTAATGCAATTATGAAAGTTCGTGTTGTTGATTCATCCAATTCACTTTGTGTGATTTTCAATCTTCATTCCTTGCCCGAATCAACTTTTGAACATTTGCGATTAGTCCTCAAATTTTGAAATTCTTCCCTTTTCGACCTTCTTTGACCAAGTTTTACTTCTTTTGATCAAAAGCCATCCAAACTTGAGTTCATCCTACAACATTTAAAATTAACTAAATAAAGTCGTAATCTCATTCATTTGACTTCCAGATATCCACTTTTGATGGCTCAAATAGGTGTAGAATTTACACCTATCACATATCCTTGGAATCCATTCAAGTATCCCTATAATGCCACTAGGGAGATTCCCAAGTTTACCACTCTCACTCCCTCCACAATAGAGTTTCTTCAAAAGGGTTTCTCTCACTGTTTCTTGCCTTTCAAATTTGCCAACAATTTCAACCCCTCCAGTTGTAGGAGATCTAGCAATCTCATCAAAAGAGTATTTGCAATTTACACCAATTTTGAAGAGTTCCATGTACCCAAACTACTATAATATTGGTCTAGAGGCCATAACTGCCGGCAATGTCACTGCACCAACACTAGTGCTAAAAAGAATTTGATTCTTTTGGCAATGGGGGAATGATAATCGATATGTTCCCTATAGCTGAGGAAGTCGAGGAGAGGACATGATCAGTGGCGAATGCAAACATTTGAAGTTAGTAATTCACAATCAAATTTATTAAAAAGTTACTAAAAAAATTATGTATTCTATAAGAACACATATAGGTGATTGTAACCCACCAGGACCATGAGTAGGTCCAGCAATGGACATGAGTCGATCTTAACTTGCAAGTTCCATGTTTAACCAATAACATTCTTGTTGATGATATACCTTATATCACGTTACATTTCTTGAATAATCTAAGTCCAATAGAGGAACAGAATTCGTTACAATTCAAAAATCGAAGAAATGATCAAAACAAAATAATTTTTGAATTGCATTTCTCTATGCCATGGGCGCGCCAACTCTAGTGTGGTGAAACGTTTGCCGAATTGGAGCATGGATGAGAGTGACAATAATTATGGATCAGCTGCGATTGTTGAAGCTTTCAGCAACAAAATGTGGAAGTTGATTATGATTTAGAGAAGGAAAGAATTGGATTTCAGATAACAGAGTGTTCATTGGCTGCAGCTTCACAACACTTGAAACTTTCTTGACTCCTAACTTAGGCTTTCTATGAAAGAAGCATGCGTGAAAGCATCAGTTCGATAGTTCCAGACTGGAATTAGCTTTCCCATTTTGAATTTTGTTCTCTTTATCAATGTGTTTATTATCTCTTGATTAATGAAGCAATGCTTGCACTTTATTAAAAACAGTATCTACAGATTAATACTACAGTTATGCTACATGTTCGTAATTGTTCTCATAACAATGTACACACACACACACATCAATGTGTGTATATATACACACAAAGTTCCATCTCAATACAAGTTAAAAATAAAAATAATGAATTTTCAAAAAGGAAACAATAGGGTTACCTCGATTCTTTTGTTTTGGGTCTAAAATCGATAATCGAACCATAAACGGACAATTCCCCATAACCAATTTAAACTTAAGAAGAATCGAATGCTCGGTGAGGTTGAATACTTTTGTCCAGCCCTAACTAAATTTACGATATTATTCAAATTGACATATTTCTATCCAGAAGAACATAGATATTAAATAATCAAGAATTCGGAAGATCATATGCTGATTACAAGAACTTTTGTCTTTCATTAACACTGTCCAATGGTGTGAAGAAAGCTGCACAAAATAGCAGTAACCATATCTCGCTTAATAAAGTCTACCGCCTAACTCATCATTGCCAAACCGATTTATTATGCAAAATTTGCCTTTTACTTAAGCTTCTTTAACTATACCAACGCTAAATTGAGATTTGCTGTCCAATTTTGCTATTTAAATGACTGTCCATCCAATGAATTATTAACATTTCATCAATTTAATTGGTTAGTGGTGAAGTCATTGAGAGCAAATTTGAGATGATATATTAATTATTGATCATATGTCAATAATTCATTGGATGAACAGTTATTTGAACAGCAAAAAAGGATATGCTAAGGCACGTAACACGAGCATTTTCCATCAGCGGGAATAATTTCAGAGACAAAAGCACATTGAGGTTAACGATATGTCCCAATTCTAAACAGTTATTTTTCATGAGACGGACAAAACAGCAAAAGGTATGCACTAAAACAAAATTACAAAAGCTCGAGACAACAAAAGCGACGTAAAAGTTCATGCATCCCTAGCCATTTACAAGATATTCATTTCCGACGAACCTGAGAAATCAAGTTATGTTTGACATCTCTTCGCCTTCTATGCTTCCCGCCATCTTTTCTCCAGTCTTGAGAATCCTTTTTACTCTCGGTACAACGAATTAGCAATAACATTGTTTTGACATCAGCTTATCTCCATCTCATGGCAAGGGAATCTTATAGCAGGCATCACTGCTTCTTTGCTATGGTCTTTATAATTCCCTTGAGAATCTTTCCAAACCATATCAAGTTCATGGTAGCAAGTGCTGAGGGTACACAGTATACCAAAAGATAACCGAAGGTGTGCATCCTCATGACCTGCAAGAATTTCAAGAAACATCCATAAAGTTGCATAATGTTGTGTGCTACCCCATGATCCATGACATAAAAAGTTATAGTGAAAGAATCAAAAGCATGGGAATCAGAACTCGGAACAATATAGCGAATTTCTTAAAGAAGTGAAAACAAGAATGCATGAATGAGAGAAGTGAAATTGATTTGGTCTACTCTCTTTGAGTTACTAGAATTAGCATAGTTTTAATTCCATTATTGTTTTTAAATTTTTAAGGCAGAAATATATGGTTAATCACAAGATACACTCCAAGCAGCCTCTTTGCGCTAATTAAAAAAATAAAATAATTGGGAGCCATTTACAGAAATACGTGTGCGCATGTATTGCCTGAATAAGTATTTTAAGCCCAAAGGAGTCGAGTATGAGGCATTGTGAATCTTATTATCCCAGTGATATGAAAGGACAGAAACAATTAGGCTTTAAAGGACCACGAGGTCCTAAGTAGACAGTTACCTGATCATGGTGTAGATAGACATGGTAAAACAAGTAAACAAACAAAAGAATTCTTGCCACCTGCATTTCGTAATATAACGTAGTAAGAGTAAAAATAAGTCATAATAGACCAAAAGAATATAATTGCCCATGATCATATAAGGAGCATGTTTTGTAAGCTTAAAAGTAACTTGTTACCTTTTAATTTTTCTTTTGTCAAAACCTGACTTATGTAGAAAGTATGCACCTATTTTTTTGTAAAAATAATACTTCTTTTCTTAGCATGCTCAAGGCTACATCACAGAGGCATGCTATAAAAATGAAAATCAGAAAGAAGCTTCCTCCTTGTCAACTCATAGAATCATTGACATAGTCATTTTTTGGCATGCCATGGACTTTCATGCTTACATTTGGTTACTCTAGGAAATTTTACTTTGATAATATAGGTTTACATTGCTATAAATGGTAATTAAAGTGTCTAAGTTACGCACCAACCAAGCAAAAAATATCACAATGCCGTTAATCAAATATGCATTGGATCTCTTCAACCCGGCAATATCGAGATACCTGTGAAATAAACATATAAATCCTTCAATACAGACTCAACTCATGAAACAAACTTCATAGATCATTTTCCTTTTTCTACAAAATCTGAGAACCCACCATCTCATGTTGATCTCTGGGGTTGTCACCTCGGATATTAGGACCATGAAGGTGTAAAGCTGCCCCTCCCCAGTGAGCATGGAGTATGATACTGCTATTGCAGAAAGAGAGTGATGGATAACCTGGAAATTAAACAGCAAAGGAACTGTTATTCTCATGAACTCGTGATAAAAATTGAGCATCTTCTATCAAGCGAATTTGTTCTTCAAGAATAGACAGAGCGTGAAACTTTTCCATGTATACTACTCGAACTCCGAAGCGAAAGGAAGTTGACAAATAATCTTTAAATTGGAATCCTGAACTCCATGAACTTGTAGAAACGGAAAGAAAGAGTCGACATTTGTGGCTATAAATCACGTTGAAGGAAAAACAAAGACCAAGCATATGTAGTAAAGAGAACGAATGAATCTGCATCAAATTCTATCTAGATGTTAATTTCAAAAGCATCGTATCTCCTACATAGCCACATTCAGCAGCATACACTTAATCGAGTATGGATCACCCAGTAAATCTGAACAACAGTATTCCTAAAATAATAATTTCAGGGGCAGCAAATCCACATATCGGAACTGACATTCATGGAAAAGCAGATATAACCTAAATTGAATTTCTTTTGCAATAAACTTACATATTCTACTCCGCCCAAGGAAGGATACAGCCAACAAATCATCCCAAGGTCTGAAATGAAGTACCCAACAGACACCTGCCAGAAGTCACACCACCAAAGGGATAAAGTGAATCTTACATGGAAAAAAGGGTACTCCAGCCTCACCTGAAGCCTAGATAACGATCTTATGTTTACCATATTTCACCATAGATCAAGACAATAACGAGATGCGAACATGGATAATTTTGTGGATACTTGCTTAGATCTTTTATATTGAACATAAGGAACACACATTGTTGATCTCATGCCTTCATTCTTCAATAAGAAACATATTTAATACAGATTTACCGCACAGATAAACCATCATTGTATTGTGTTTTAGCTTTCTAGGCAACTTCAAAGAGAAAATCAGGTTCAGTTTTATTCTGGTTGACAAAAATAATTTTTCTTTCCCTTAGCAACGCAGAAAATGAAAACGAACATGCTACGGTTTGGAAAAAATTACAACAATCGTGTTCAAGAGTAAAATATTATCTGGATTATGAAGGCTATTTTGTAAAATGAGCAAATCCATTAGTTGACAATCTAGAGACCTTAGAGATAAAGCCCTCCCATCCAATTGGACATCTCCCCACCAATGATGCACCGACAAAGCTGATACGCTATTGATTAAATTTTTTAAAATTCTACATTTATATAGTATTAAATTTAGTTTTAAACTTATTATTAATTTTTCTTAAAGAAACTTTTTAAATAAGAGTACTGATTTATTATTCAATAATAATTTTTGAGTAAAAAATATATAATATTTATGATAAAGAAAGAAAAATGAACATGTTAGAGTGTTCGAGGAGTATCAGTATTCGACAAATGTCCAACACATACTGGATATGGATACGTCATCCTAGTTTAAGTGTCCATGCAACACAACTCCCAAGCTCATCCATCCCCACCCCCACCCCCAAAAAAATATAAAAAATATCATCAAAAAAGATAAAAACTTGAAAATGATGTGATAAAACTATATGGTTTAGGTTTTAAGTACAAATGACATGCTTGCAAGCACTAAAAAATACCTTCTTACAAATAAAATAAATTATAATAACACATGAATATCCATTTAAAAACATTAAAGATGCGTCAGAATCTTACCCCCAGTGCAAATGTTGAGACAGGTGAATTTCGGAATGTAATAAGCTCAGCAGAATGGTAATCAGAGAAAAGATCGGACCAAAAGACAAAGTACAAGGATGTAATTGAAATAAAAATGGCATGAAGAGTAGAGACACCACTGCAAAAAAATACAAATAAAGTTAAAAAAGTATTAGAAAAATAGTTAATAAAACTATGAACATTATTCACCGGTTGTTCCATTCAGTCCTTTGAATCTTTGTAAGGCCATTATAACTCCTAAAGTAAACGGCACTGACGAGCTGAGTCAAATCATATACCTGTTAAGAGGGCGAACCATCATAAATGATTAACAAAGTCTCAGAATGTTGGAGAAGCAATCTTGTTACAAGAGAGTGCTCATGCCCCAATCAAATAATGAAATGCATTTTTCAGTAATGATCCACCTATGTCTATTCTTCAGTTCCATGTGTAATCAACCTTATGAAATGCAATCATTTTTAGGGTGCCACAACAATGTCTAGAAAATGTGCAATACTATGTGAAAATATAGAACATTTCCAACTTTGTTACATAAGAGCGGTGTTCTAAAAAGCATAACGTATGATTAGACGTGAAAGCCAAGTTTTAAGCTTTACGAGCTTAGAGGGCAAAAACGTTCTCTTATTTTTAATAATATTTTAAATTTTTAATCATTTAAAAATTAAAAAATTAAAATAATACATACCAAAATCTAAAATTATAAAATACTATGGCCCTATTTGATGGCGCCATTATTTGGCAAACACAATATTTTTGAATAGTGAACTTTTGAAGAATATGTGGTTAAAAATATAAAAAAATTTTGGATTAGATCAAATGCTGGACTATTTTTAATAGTTTCAACTTTCAACTAGATAAGTCCTACTTGAAATTTTTTACGAATTTTCATTTTTGACTTTTGTACAGATAGG